TGATCTGGTGTATAAAGCTGGCTAAAAGGTTTGTAAAAGATGCCTTTAGCTTAGCAGTGGTGCACAATTCATAAGAAAACACTTAAGTGGGCCAGTGATAGGATAGCTGTATTATGCAACCTTCCTAACTCTGTTAATTTAATGGCAACAGTTAACTCGGGGGAAGTTGACTTGAGCCTTCTCCTCTTCGCCAAGTTGTGTGAACTGCTTACTAGAACTTAATAAGCTCTTCGTGCTTCTGAGATGGAGACAAAGGGTAGAATGGGCTTCAAAGGCAGGATGGTATGATTAAATAGCATATAGCAGTATTTCAGTATTTGAGGGGCTGCCAAAAGAAGGATGGGGTCAACTTATTTACCAAAGCACCTGTAGGCAGGATAAGAAACAATGGGTGCAAACTGATCAAGGAGAGAAGCAGCCTGGAATTAAGGAGAAACTTCCTAACAGTGAGGACAATTAACCGGTGGAACAACCTGCCTCCAGAAGCGGTGAATGCTCCAACACTGGAAGTTTTTAAGAAGAGACTAGACAGCCATTTGTCTGAAGTGTATAGGGCAGTGATGGCGAACCTTTTAGAGACTGAGTGCCCAAGCTGCAACCCAAAACCCACTTATGTATTGTCGCGTGCCGAGTGGGCGTGGCCCATTGGGTGGGTGTGGCCCATTGGGTGGGCGTGGTCACGGTGGTAATGGCAGACTGGGTGGGACTAAAAAGTTCAATCAATTCCAACTTTGCGAGATCTTTTTTTTCCCGCGAGAAGTTGAAATTGATTGATTGATTGAAACTTTTTTTTTTTTTGTATACAGTGACAGAGGCCTAAAGCAAAAAGATTTTATAAAACCCAGCTGAAGGCCTAGGACTGGGCTGATGGCGCGCGTGCCCACAGAGAGGGCTCTGCGTGCCACCTGTGGCATGCAAGCCTTAGGTTCACCCCCATGGGTGTAGGGTCTCCTGCTTGAACAGGGGGCTGGACTAGAAGACCTCCAAGGTCCCCTCCAGCTCTATTCTGATTGATTACAAAAAAATGGGGCCGTAGATGATTGGGTTGTTTGTGTCACCCAAACCTAGCCACCAGTTATCAAACCAGATCATTTTTTTTTTCTGGGTATGGCTTTGGAAAAATCTGTTGCTTCTTTCCATTCCTTCCGATTCGCCATTCTAAGTTTTTCCCTTGAAAGCTCTCCTCTCACCCATCGAACCTTCTTGCGACGAGATGCTTTGCCCTGCAGACCCCATTTGAGAATGATCTTAAAAACAGACCGAACGAAAATATATGTCAGCACTAAAAAGGCTGCCTGAAGTACTTTCAGCTACCTCTTTTTTGAAAAAAAAGGCAAAACAACCCCAATTAATTTAAAAACTCCACCAGATTGTTTTGCTAGCACTGACAAGCAGAGTTCCTGGGCGGCCTTCTGCAAAAGTAATAGTCAAATTAAGATTTCAAAAGGAGACAAATATCACTTTCTTCCAAAAAAAAATAATCATAATGAATTGTCCTTTTAGTATTATCATGCAGCTAGTTCCCAATCCTGGATCGTTTGCTTTAGATTCGTACTTGCACCGGAATTGTTTTCATGAGGTTGATGTATAAAAGCAATTTCGTGGGAGGAAGGAATGATGTTAAAAGAGGCTCGGAGTTCGTTATCTGGCCCGGTGTGGGGAAAAGAAAAAAAAAGATCAAGGAAAAACAGATCAAGTTTGTTCCGTCGCTCGCTCTGGGAGTGATTCATATCAGGAAGTGGTAGCACTTTTATTTTTAGAGCAGACAATTTGCAGCAGCCCTCAGGTCCTCGGCTTGTACGAAATGCAGAGCCAAAGCAGCTGCCTTGATCATGACAAAGACACAAAAAATAAAAATAAAAAACAAATCCCCAGATCTGTCTCGAGGTACTACTTTTATTAGGTCAAATCCAGGCTTACAGAATCTCTGAGATCTTGGGAGTTTCCAAAAATATTTCATCGAGCAAGATAGTTGTAAATCCAGGAACCGGGTTGGGGAGGGGGGAGGCATATGATTGGGGTTTTTAAAATAAAAATAAAAACAACCCTATTGGGGCCAGATTCATCTTAAATAATGCATTACAAGATTTAACGTCCTGGCAAATGGGAGTGTCCAGGGATGCTGGCTTGGGTCAAGGATTTTTCCAGTCCTTGCTAGGAAAAGTAGAAAAAAAACAGATTCCCCCCAATCTTTGGGACTCTCAAAGACAGCTGTTAATGTTTAGATTATTTTCATCCTTTGCAAAACACCGAGGTCCCTCGGTAGGTGGGGAATCTACTGACTTTGAGATGCATCTAAGATTATAAGCTGGGGGTTGTTTTTTTCTCTGTTCAATTGTGTTTGATTCTGTGGATATTTTTTTTTTGTAGGTGTGGCCTTGCCTCCTTTTTAGGGCTGAGAAAGAGTGACTGGCCCAAGGTTATCCAGCTGACTTAGTGCCTAAAGCAGGACTAGAACTCACAGTCTCCCAGTTTCTAGCCAAGTGATGGCGAGACCACCAGACCTTTTAGAGACCGAGTGCCCAAACTGCAACCCAAAACCCACTTATTATTGCCGGGTGCCAGGTGGGCATGGCCCACTGGGTGGGCGTGGCTGTGGTCATGGCAGATTGGGTGGGTGTGGCCAAGGTGGGTGTGATCACCTCGATGTTGCTCATGGGGAGGGACGCCTGTGGGGGTCAGGCAGGGTTGGGGGAGATCCAGGGGGTCTCTGGCAGGTGAGGCGGTGGGCAGGAGGCTCGTCCTGTGGGGTGAGGCGAGGTAAGGCAAGGCAGGGTGGGGGTGCCATTGTCACAGGGAAAGGTGAGGCAGGGGCCGGGGCGGCTGCTGCCTGACACCATCGGCGCCTGCACACAGAGGCCAGTGAGCGCATGGATGCTGGGATGCATCCGGACATGTGGGACCTCGGCGAGTTAGCGGGCGGCTGGTTGAAGAGGGACAGTTGCCATCTCCAGGGCATGATGCGCGTGCCCACAGAGAGGGCTCTGAGTGCCGCCTCTGGCACGCGTGCCATAGGTTCGCCATCACTGTTCTAGCCTGATGCCTTCACCATTACCCAAAGCTGGCTCTCTATAATAAGCTAATATACTGTAGGCCTAATTTCATACATCCCCTTGTTTTTTCCCACTCAACTTTCATCTTTTCCCCTTTGGGTTGTTAATCATCTTGCTTGGGAAGGCTTGCAGCTGTTTTATAAACCTTCTGTCAACTTAATCGTTGCTTTCGGAACATCATCTGGATTTGATTTCTATGTTTAGTGCACTAAGCAAGAAAGGCATTCTCAGAGGACAGTGAAATGAGCGTCTGTTGGCAATCAACTCATTAGCACTGAGGAAGAGCAAGAAGCCAAGTTTTTGGACCCTGCGTAGCTTGAGAAGGTTCAAGAAGCTCACAATGTAGAGTCGAAGTCTAGATATCGAAACTTTCCACAATATTCTCCCATTATGCCCTGCTAGGATCTTCAGGGGCCAGACAATGTTCTTTACTACAAGGTGTATATAACCAATAACTTGATGTTAGAGAGCAACCATCCCAGTTGGGAGAAGGGGTCAAGTCTGGACTCTTTCCATAAACACAAGAGGGAAGGTCTGACTCAACCTTGAATGTCTTGGACCCTTAGCTGATCTTTCCCAGGTGAAAGTTGCCAGTCTGGGGAGATTCCTGTATTATAGGCAGAAAACAATAAAGTAGGTAGTTTGAACTCTAGAGCTATGGTCTGATTGTGCCTGCCTGACACTGGACGACATGGAGACAGATGGAAGATTTTCTGCCTACGGGATTCCACCGTAATTTCATCAGTCAATAGTGAGGAATAAAGTGTAGTGCCTTGCCCTTAAGAGAAGAAACAGCCTGCATTTAGACTCCAGATACGCAACGCGGTTGATCTTTTCTGGAAGAGAATAACAGGACAAAGGAATGCATAGAAGCTTGGTCTTTATTCCACCAAATTGAACAGTACCATGGAAAAAAAAGAAGGGAAGCATCGAAGGTCGAGGGTGAAAGAATACTGCATAGTCACGTTACAACATAAAGATTGCCACGTTTGTTACACAGGTAATTATACCCTTCCCGCTACTTGTTCAAAACATGACAGTGAGAGGTCCCAGGATGTATTGTTAGACATTGAAACAGAGCACAAAACGCCTACGGGATTATGGTTGATTAAGCACCAACCAGAGAGACTTTCATCCGTGTATGGCTTCAGGGGTAGAAGGAGGGGCCAAGCTGTGCTATCTCCACCTGTAACATGGGGATGATGCATTTGGGCTTTCTGAGGTTCTGGAAGTTCTGTTTAATAGTAGGGAACTATGGCAGCAGTGGGAGGGGAAATCTCCTCTTGCCCCCAAGCCTTGGACTGGAAGACGTACAAGTGGCCGAGCCACCTAATTTGACAAGGCTCGGAACTTCTCTTGGCAACGATACCTTTCGCTTCTTCGGCATTTTTCTACAAGAAGTCCCCTCTTCAAATTGTGTTTCTGTAAAGAGGGTTGTGTGTAAGTTTGTACATGTGTTTGTGTGTGTGTGTGTGTGTGTGCATGTGTGTGTAGTGCACATTTATTTCACTACACAGCCAGGACGACGCCCGAGATAGTAAATGGCTCTTATCCTTCTCCACCAAGCGGTGGATGGAAGCTAGTTTGTCTAGATATATAAGGAAAGGGAGAAGGTTGAAGAGAGGTAGAACTTCAAGGTGGATCATGGTGAGGGAAGGGGGGGGGTGTCCAACAATTGATGGTTCTAACCTGAGACAGGTACGCACACCTCATGTCCACTGAAGAGGGACAGAAGAAGGAAGATACCTTACAAGGGAGGGGACTTGGGCTGCAAAGAAAATACTCAGCTCACGCACGCACAAACAAGGAAGATAAACTCATTGGGCATCTGTTGGGTCCTTCTCATCAACTAGGGTCAGGCTTCCACTCTCACGGACACCCCACCCCACTCACACGGGTCCCAAGTTGACCACTGGGATCTGGTGCCGGTCAAGAGGCAGCATGGAGTCACATGATGGTGCATTTCTCAGCAGACTGCTTCAGATCATCTATGGTGGCTTGGGCTTTGTCCTTCAAGGAATCTAGGTCTATGTTCTGGATGTTGGTCAGCTGTCCGATTACAGAGTCCTTTTCCTCTTCCTCCTCGTTGTCTTGCTCTATCATCTTGGCCAGCTCCTTAGGCAGCTCCACGTCACCCCCGGCTAGTTGGATCTGGCTGTCATCACTTTCGTTCTAAAGAGAAGAAGGTTAACCGATTGGTCTGACTTAAGAGAAGCAAACCCCTTTGACTATGGAGGTTCTCCGTCATCCAGTTCCTGGTTGTCCCAAAGGTGCTTTTTCAGGAGGGAACTGGGCTGTCTTGTTTTTCTTTGAAGATATTTCGCTTCTTCTCCAAGAAGCTTCTTCAGCTTGGACAGCTCCATTCCCCACCATCCAGTCAGAACTGAGGAAGCTTCTTGGAGGAGAAGCAAAACATCTCCAAAGAAAAACAAAGGAAGTCCAGTTGCCTCCTGAAAAAGAACCTTTGGGACAAATCCCACGGATTTCAGTGGCGGTAAGCCTCAGAGGCAATACCGGTAGGTCTTCACTTAGGACAGTGTTTCTCAACCTTGACAATTTTCAGGCATGTGGACTTCAACTCCCAGAATTCCACAGCCAGCATTGCTGGCTGTGGAATTCTGGGAGTTGAAGTCTACATGCCTTAAAATTGTCAAGGTTGAGAAACACTGACTTAGGACCATAACCGAGACCAAAAACATCTATCACTAAGCAACACAGTCACTATGTGAGTCACGCCTGATGGCCTTCTCTGCCAGGGTCATTAAGCAGATCATTCTGCCCCTGAAGTGAACTCAGCTTCCCTCGTTGACTTTGCTTGTCAGCAGCTGACTGGGAACATTGCAAGTGGCAATCAGGTGATCCTGGGATGCTGCAACCATCATAAATACCTGCCACCCAAATTTTGATCACATGACCACAGAGATGTTGCAATGGTCATAAAGGTAAGGGCTAGTTTTAAGTCACTCATCATAACTTTGAATGGTCACTAACCTAATGGTTAGGGTTTACCTGAGATCTACCTGTAGTTTTCTGAGTAGGTTTGGATTCAAAAGCTAAGGGGGGGGCTGGTCTTAGTTGTACCACCAGGGAATTCTTGGACTATAGCTTAGATGAGGAAATTCCCCCTCCTGCCCAAAAGCTCAATAATGACAAGAACGACTTCTCTAAGATTGCCAAGAAAAATACATGTATGTCCATGAATTCCCCAAGAATCAACCTTACCTCTGCTTACAAATAAGTGGGAATTTGAAAGCAGCCTTGAAGGAGGAACATGAGGTTCAGAATGAGATTTAGAACACAGTACATCAAATATCAGAATTGGAAGGGACCTTGGAGGTCTTCTAGTCCAGGGGTCCCCAACCCCTGGTCCATGGCTGCGGCATGCCAGCAACCGGTCCGCACAAACAAGCAAAGCCCCATCCATGGGATGCAGGCAGCACACAAAACCACACATTCTCCAGTCCGTGGAAAAACCTCTCTCCACGGAACCGGTCCCTGGTGCCCAAAAGGTTGGGGGACCTCTGTTCTAGTCCCGCTCCCTGCTTCAGCAGGAGACCCTATCTACCATTTCAGACAGGTGGCTGTCCAGTCTCTTCTTATTCAGATTATTCAGATTTTGGGATCTGGATGGTCTATTGTTAATCATATTAGCTGCATTCACGCAGCCGTGCTAACCAAGTGGGCTAAAGTTTTAATGACAGCATTCATAGCACCAGCCAAGTTGGTTAGGCTTAATCTTCTCTGTGGCTTAATGCCCTGTGCAAATTCGGATGTGGGACAGTTCCACGATCCGATTAAGCCTGCTGCCATCCTAGAAAATGATGTAAGAGACGCTTGCAAATGTCAGATGTAGGGTTGCAGATGAATGACTAAATGCCAGGTATAAAAATAGGCCATTTTGTCAGATTTCGGCCTTGGGGCAAAAAACCCAATAAATACTGTTAGCCACATCCCAGTGAAACAAGTAGAGTGGAACCAAACTGCATTCATCATAAGCTTCATTGATTTGAAGAGGACCAGTTAGGAAGAGAATTCTGAACATAATTGGTTTGTCCTAATTATGCCTGGCCTTAAAAAGTCTGCAAACGGGCAGCATATTGGGTTTCAGATTCAACTAGAAAGGATTCCAGCGGAGGCAATTGAATACGTCGTAGCTCACGGCTAATCTCTGGATGACCCAACTATTCTCAACTTCAGTTTCTCACTCATTGGGCAGCCTCAAAAATGTAACTGGTTTCAACTGGAAGAAATCACCAGATCAGTTCAGCCAGAAGGATTCCCTGGGACACGTTTCGCTTCTTATCCAAGAAGCTGCATCAGTTGGGACTGGATGGTGGGGAGATAGAAGGATAGGTTCCAAACCCATCCTTCCATCTCTCCAACATCCAGTCCCAACTGCTGAAGCTTCTTGGATAAGACGTGAAACTTCTTCTTCTTCTTCTTCCTCCTGAAAAAAACAGTCCACTTGCCTTTTATTTTAAATTTTTAAAAAAGCACTTTTGAGGCAATTATGATCTGGATGACAGAATCTCCATAGACGTTCTCAAGACTGTGTTTCTCAAACTTGGTAATTCTATGACTTTAAATGACTGGGGACTTCTGGGAGTTGAAGTCCACCGGTCTTCAAATGGCCAAGTTTGAGAAACATTTCCCTACATCGGGGCTTTTCAACCAGTGGTGCGGGTACCACCTGTGGTACATTGGCACCTAGCAGATGGTACGTGACCATTCTAGAAAAGTGGTAGCGGGGGGGGAATGAGCTGAACTGGTGGCAGCACCGCACAAGCCTGAGCGAGAGATGGCTGGAGCTGCAGGGCTGTCAGGGCTCAGCGGAAGCGCCAGGATCAGTGCTTCTTCGGGGCTGTCAGGGCTCAGTGGAAGTGCCAGGATCAACACCAGGCTCCAGCTGGAGCTCGGCGCTGATCCTGACGCTTCTGCTGAGCCCAGAAGAAGCACTGATCAGCTGGAATGTTGCAGCATTTCCAGGGTCTTGTGATTTACATTCAGATGCGTGGCAACTGATTCATATTTATGACAGTCACAGTGTCCCAGGGTCATGTGAAGTGACCAAAACCTGCTGCAACCACCCAGCAGACGGGGGGGAATAAAAGCCAAACACCCTCCACCCCACCCCCATTGCCAATCCTCAACAGAAATGCTCACAACAATGAAAACCTCGGACAGGAGGAAGAGTGCCGCCGGGTGGGCAGGCAGGTGTCTTGCTCGGCTGTGGCTTGGGGGGCACTTTTTTCAGTGCCATTGTAACTTCAAACAGTCACTAAGCGAACTGTTGTAAACTGAGGACTACCTGTACTTTATCACTTTTTTCATTTTTTTTGGTCATCAAATGTTTGACACCTTGCTAGGCGACTGGTGGTACTCAGATATTGCCATATCCTAAAAGTGGTACAATGGGTGAAAAGATTGAAAAGCCCTGCTCTACACTGTTTTCCCAAAATTCCCAAGCAGCACTCAACCTATCAAAAAGAGGCTATTGGTTCAGGGGCATTTAGCTATCTCTACACAATAAAACTCTACCTCTTTGGAGGCTTTGGACCACGTCCAAGACCTACATTTTTCAAAGGGACAGAGTGTTGATGGGTGTTGGTGCATCCACCCTCTTGAGATTAACTGTCCCCTTGCAGAGACTTGTGCTGTTGTTTTTGTAAAAAAAAAAAAAAAAGGTAATTCCTCTTGCAAGTGGCTGGCTGGTTGACGTCTTCGTAAGGCGTAGGGATTCGTAAAGATCTTGTCCTCTTTCTGTCTTCAACTGACAGTAGAGGACGCCCACTTCAACTTGCTTTGGGGAACTGGGAAGTTGTGTTTATTTCTGTTTACTTATTTCCAATATTTGCAGAGTACTTAAGAAGGACGTTTTTGGTGCTCTGTAGGACAAATTAAAACCATGTAATATGACTTTCTTCTGGGGTTCGGCAGCGTAAATTAAAATCATCTAGTATCCAAATCAAAGTCAAGCAGCAAAAAAGCCAGCGAAGGGTCCCAGCAGAATTAAATCAAAAGAAACCAGAGAGGGAACTGTAATGGTGGGGAACTTCTAAACGGGAGACCCGCGAATGTGCCAGGTTGATGATTCGATTCAATAGCAGTTGGGTTGAACTAGTCCTTCAGTTCAAATCACTGAATAGAATCAAGTGCCTTTGAATCAGTCCCAATACTTGACTTAAAGCCATTCGTTTAGGGCAGGGGTAGACAACCTTGGCTCTTTTATGACTCATGGACTTCAACTCCCAGAATTCCTGAGCCAGCATAGCTCAGGTTGGAAACCTCTCCCTTTCCCCCTCAGCATAGCTGGCTCAGGAATTCTGGGAGTTGAAGTCCATCAGTCATAAAAGAGCCAAGGTTGCCTAACCCTGGTTTAGGGTGACCGGCTGGCTGGAAAATTCTGGGAGTTGAAGTCCACACATCTTAAAATTGCCAAGGTTGAAAAACTGGTCTAAACTTTAAATAAAAAAGATGGGGCTGGCATTAATTGGAAGTTTCTGCAGAATCTAGCCTGGAGTCAGGGTTCTCCATAATCAATTTTGGGCATTATTATTATTATTATTATTATTATTATTATTATTATTATTATTATTATTATTATTATTATTATTATTGATCATCGCACAGTCAGCCAGATGTTCAGACTGGATTTGGCATTTTTGTCTACCTATCGAGTCCTTCCCAAGGACCTGGGATAGGCAGATGTGGATGTTTGATGGTATTACAGATATTGTTGCAGGATGGAAGCAGTTCCTAGTAAGGCCGCCTTTTGCAATTGACTCATGGTGAATTTGTCAATACCAATGGTGTTCAAGTGGTGCTCCAGTTGTTTTGGGATTGCACCCAAGGCACCTATTACTATTGGTGCTACCCTTGCTTGCTTTTGCCACAGTTTTTCTATTTCTATTTGTAGGTCTTTGTATTTTGTTATCTTCTCCAGTTCTTTCTCGTCTATTCTGCTGTCTCCAGGCACTGCCACGTCCACTATCCAGACTTTTTTGTCTTTCTTATCAACAATTGTTAAGTCTCAGGTGTTATGTTGTAGGTGCTTGTCTGTTTGGATTCTGAAGTCCCAGAGCAGTGTAATTTTATCATTTTCTATGACTTTATTTTATGATCCCACCAGTTCTTGCTTACAGGCAAATGATATTTCTTGCAGATCTTCCAATGCACCACTGTTGCTACTTTGTCATGCCACTGCTTGTAGTCAGTCTGTGCGATCTTCTTGCAGCAGCAATTATTGCTGTTATTATTATTATTATTATTAATAATAATAATAATAACTGCTTCCATCCTGCGACGATATCTGTAATACCATCAAACATCCAGGTCCTTGGGAAGGACTCGACAGGTAGACAAAAATGCCAAATCCAGTCTGAACATCTGCCTGACTGTGCAATGATTAATAATAATAATAATAATATTAATAATAATAATAATAATAATAATAATAATAATAATAATAATAATAGTAATAGGCTGCCTGTCTTACCATGGAGTAACTCTGGGCAGCTTACAATATTAAAAAGATAAAACAATACCAAATCTACAGACAATATAAATGCTATAGAGATCCCAAATATTCAGCCCTAACTAAAAGATGGGGAAGGAGGGAGTAGGGTGAGTAGCGGGGAGAGAATTATCAACTCTGTTTACCTGCTGGGAATCTATTCCCCTTTAGCATAAAATAGCTTTCTTCACTTTGATCGCGAAGCTTCACTATAATAAAGTTGTGTAGAGCAGGGATCTCTAACCTTGGGAACTTTAAGATTTGTGGACTTCAGTTTCTAGAATTCCTCCCAATTCTGGGAGTTGAAGGCAACAAGCCTTAACGTTCCCAAGGTTGGAGACCTCCGAGGTAGAGAAATTCCCTAAACAAACCAGACTGTGCTCTATGAAGGCCCCACTCCATACCTTGGGCAGTTTGTATTTGTCCCGGAAGTGAGTCCGCAGTGTAGCACGTTCAGCCTTCTTCTGGGCAAACTGGGCATCACGCTCCATCCTGCCAAAGTCATAAGGAGAAAGAAATGGATTTCAACCATGAACAGGTCTGCTCATCTGTCCAAACTGACTCTAGGCAGCCTACAAGGGTCAGCACCACAAGGCAAGCTTCATAGAACCCAATCACCAAGGCCATCAACAGGATTCAACTGAAGAATAACCTCAACTGGCATATTAACCTCACCTAAACACATGGCCTCAAAGCCGGGAGGAACCGTCAGGTCTGAACAGTAAGACCACACTTGGAATATTGCATCAGGTTTTGGCCACCAGAGATAAAAAATATATAGAGATTCTAGAAAGAATGCAGACAAGAGCAACAAAGATGATTAGGAGACTGGAGGCGAAAATATATGAAGGACGGTTGCAGGAATTGGCTATGTCTAGTTTAATTCAAAGAAAGACTAGGGGTGACATGATAGCAGTCTTCCAATATCTAAGGGGCTGCCACAAAGAAGAGGGGGGTAATCCTGTTCTCCAAAGCATCTGAAGGCCAGACAAGAACGAATGGATGGAAACTGATCAAGGAGAGATTCAACCTAGAAATAAGGAGAAATTAGAACAATTGAGACAGTCAGAACAATTAATCAGCTTGCCTTCAGACGTTGTGGGTGCCCCATCACTGGAGGCTTTGAAGAAGAGACTAGACAGCCATTTGTCTGAAATGGTAGAAGTTTTCCTGCCTGAGCAGGGGGTTGGACTAGAAGACCTCTGAGGTCTCTTTGAACTCTGTTATTCTGCTCTGTTCTATGGTCTCTAAAGCCTTATGGAAGACTAATAGGGTCAGAGCCATCCTGCTCCCTGGAGAGCTGGTACAGAAGAGGCAGGATATTGGGTTCCAATGAGGTGGCACTGCTTGATGGAAGACACCTGGAGCATGTCCTCCCTACTTGATCCGGAGGGGCAAGCCAAAACGATGGGGAGACAAACAGTCCCACAAATAGCTTGGCCCTATTATTAGTAAATGTGCTCCAGTTGGCAAGCTAAGCCGAAATTGCTGGAGGATGACAACATGGGAACAGAAAGTCAGAAGATTTCCCAAAGGAGACAGGTATCCAGGCCAGTGTGAAGTTAATCAAAAGATACGGACCAAGCCACATTAATTAAGCAACAAAAACCTGGCTCGGTTACTGTGAAATAATTGCCTCTGCTCTTTCTCTGCCTATATCCAATAATTGTTGAAGCAAAACTGGTGTATTGCACATTGCATACATATATAAAAATGTATGATCTATCCTTGCTTGTAAAAGAGCGTATTGCTATCATTTTTACATGATCTCCTCTCGACTGATATTGTAAGGATCACTTCTCGTTATCAATGCACAGGACGGAATCCCAGTTTTGTGTATTATGTAATCCAGAAAGTCTAACCTCACGTGAGGTTCATTCCTCACCCCGGGCTTTTACATGGTACAATGATCACATCCCTAACAAACCTTCACAGAAAAGCCGCAAGTTTGTAGAACTAAACTATGAAGAGATAAAGAGGCAAGACTGAGCCTCAGCTAGATGTAAAGAAGAAATTAAGTGAATCCTTAAGTGAGATTTTAATAAATGTAGTGAAAAAGGCTTCCCAAATTTCTGGTTTTTATTTTTATTTTTTTGCCATCCTAGACTAACCCAGGGTTAAGGTTGCTGGAATTGGGTATGTCTAGTTTAATGAAGAGAAGGATGAGGGGGGACATGATAGCAGTGTTCCAGTATCTCAGGGGCTGCCACAAAGAAGAGGGAGTCAAGCTATTCTCCAAAGCACCTGAAGGCAGGACAAGAAGCAACGGATGGAGAAAATAACCAAGGAGAGAAGCAACCTAGAACTAAGGAGAAACTTCCTGACAGTGAGAACAATTAACCAGTGGAACTACCTGCCTCCAGGAGCGGTGAATGCTCCAACACTGGAAGTTTTTAAGAAGAGACTGGACAGCCTTTTGTCTGAAATGGTATAGGGTTTCCTGCCTGAGCAGGGGGTTGGACTAGATGACCTCCGAGGTCCCTTCCAACTTTATTATTATTATTATTATTATTATTATTATTATTATTATTATTATTATTATTATTATTATTATTATTATTATATCCTATAATATCTGAATGAATCCTTTAACTTCCTTTAATCTGCTTGGACTAAGATGGCTTTGATCCAAGCGGTTAGGAAAAAAACAAAGGCTTGGTTCACACAACTTTCTCAATCTAGTTAGGCTAAAAATCTAATGGTTGCAGTCGTACCGTACAACTTCATGACCTTGATTAACTGAGAGGGTGTCTGCCTTTACCCACACAGTTGAGGTGATGAATTTGCTAGGCAAATATTATCCTGAAAATGGCTTCACTTAGTACGCAAAATTATCCTGTTAGGTGAACACAGCCATCCAGGATCTGTAGATAGGATACTACTCTCGTTCTCCAGTGGTGTATACGACAGAAAAAAACCTTTAATTTCTTATATTCTCTCCTTGCCCCAACATCAAAGTCATCTTAATTGGTCCCATTATATCTCCTTTCAGTGGTACAACTAAGTAACTCTCATCCCAAGCCCTATGGCTCAATTAATTCTCCGTCCTCTAAACATTTAAACAAAAGGCCACACTTGGAATACTGCATCCAGTTTTGGTCACCGTGATGTAAAAAAGATGTTGAGACTCTAGAAAGAGTACAGAGAAGAGCAACAAAGATGATTAGGGGACTGGAGCTAAAACATATAAGGAACGGTTGCTGGAATTGGGTATGTCTAGTTTAACGAAGAGAAGGACGAGGGGGGACATGATAGCAGTCTTCCAGTATCTCAGGGGCTGCCCCAAAGAAGAGGCAGTCAAGCTATTCTCCAAAGCGCCTGAAGGCAGGACAAGAAGCAATGGGTGGAAACTAACCAAGGAGAGAAGCAACCTAGAACTAAGGAGAAACTTTCTGACAGTTAGAACAATTAACCAGTGGAACAACCTGCCTCCAGAAGCAGTGAATGCTGCAACACTGGAAGTTTTTAAGAAGAGACTGGACAGCCATTTGTCCGAAATAGTATAGGGTTTCCTGCCTGAGCAGGGGATTGGACTAGATGACCTCCAAGGTCCCTTCCAACGTTATTATTATTATTATTATTATAAAAGCTGCTGGCGACACAAGCTGTTAGACAGAGGACTGACTAAAGAAATACTTGAGTCCTTAAATGCTGGGTATTTAAGCAGAGGCTGGATAGCCATCTGTCAGGCTTTCTCCAGCCAGGGCTAAAACTAAATGCATCACAGGTGGTGAATCAAGGACACCACCCTCTGATAAGTACAGGTAGTCCTGGACTTCATTTAGTGACCGTTCAAAGTTACAACATCACCAATAGTGACTTATGACTATTTTTCCCAATTACGACGGTTGCACCATCCGCATGGTCATGTGATCGCAATTCGGACGCTTGGCAACTGACTCATATTTATGACAGTCGCAGCCTGCCGGGGTCACGTAACTCTCCTTCTGTGAACCTTCTGACAAGCAAAATCAATGGGGAAGCCGGGTTCACTGAACATTCGTATAACCCTCTTAACAGCTGCAGTGATTCATTTAGCAAACCATGGCAAAAAAGGATGTAAAATGTGGCAAAATTCACGTAGCAAATGTCTTGCTTAGAAACAGAAAGTTGGGCTCATTTGAGGTCGTAAGGCGAGGACACTCGGTATGCGTTTTGCAAGAAACGAGAAAACTATTAAGAAAAAAAAAATCCAGCCCCTGTTATGTGCAAAACCCAAACTCTACTTATAATGTAATAGAAACCAGGCTTAATTCTTGTGCTTCTTTTTTCCCTGTTCCTGTAGGTCTACGAAACAGTTCTCGTTGCACGGAGCCATTAATACATGGCTCTCGTGACTGTAATGGATTAGTTTAGTCCAAGCTGATTGTTCCTAATCTTGTTGGATCTAGCTCTCCCACTGTCTTTCAAAGTTAAGGCAATTTTGTAGTTTCTGCATCGGGCACCGGGCAAGATGAATCTACCTTTCAGTGGTGTAATTCTACAAATCTGTGATGGAGTTTAAATGAGTTGGAGGGTTAGGACAGCCTTGACAGATTTCGTGGAGAGGAAAATTAAGTACCGTCAAGCAAACCAGGAACTGGTCTATTAAATTAAACTCTTTTTATAGGTCAAAGATAAGAAATAGGATTTTGGGCTGTCTTTAGCTAAAAAGCTAAGATTAAGGGCCATTTCTAAGCAGTTCCATCATTTTATGTTTCTGAGCTTATTCCCTATGCCGCTGATGTTCTTATATTTGTCTGAAAAAGTTGCTATCAAAATTATTTCTGTGCAAAACTCTTCAGGAACCAGTGCTCCTCTCTGCAACACAGTTTCAATAATAATAATAAAAAATCAGGTGGAAATCTATCCCAAATCCTTAATCTACCTTTAAGCTTAAGTGACTATCTTTTTGATACAGACTGTAGTTCCTCCAGGCTCCCTGCAAAGATAATAGAAGGCAGGCAGAGGTGCTTACTCACAATAAACCTTGGGAGGGATGGGATGTGAGACTGAATAGTTAAGGTATTATAAAACTCTGAGCGCTGAGTGCAGAAAGTGAGTAATTCCGAAGAAGAACAATGTATTATGTACTAAGGCAGCTTTAAATTATGTGTCTATTCCTTCTTCCCCTCCCTTCCCCAAATTAGAAATAATTCAGAATATAAATAAATCTGTAGTGAGACATAGTGGGGGGTTTTTTTTCTCTTCCTGGGAAAACAATCCCATCTCTTGAAAGCAAAAGAGGATTAAAAGATTAGGGGTTCATGAAAATACATTACTGACATTCCCTGCTCTCTGTAACTAATGGAATATCCTGGCTCCCTTTCTGAGTTTCCTCCTCTGTGCATACGAGGAGCAGCTGAAACAGGTGCAGGATCCCGTTAATTCAGCCACCATTTAAATGAAAGATCAGCTTCTACAATCTGCGTTCCGCAGCCCTGAATTCCTACATTTGCAAAATCTCTCGCCTCCCAAACTCCAGTTTGAAACGTATTTTTGACGAATCTCGTTTCCTAAATAAAGACGCGTCTATAAGGACTCCCGATAAAAATTAAATCGAGTGTTTAAACGAGATAAAAATACCACATTCGAGTCGGGGAAAGATTACAAAACGATCTTAGGTAGATTTTTGTGGGACTAGACTTCGAAGGTTTATGCTTATTTTTTTCCGGAATTCCTACTTATTTTATTTAGCTTTGAAGGTATGGATCTCAGAATCTATTTCTGATTGGATGAACAAGTTCAAGATTTTATTCAGCCTAGAACATCACAGGGGAGAAATCTTCACTCTCTGCGCATGTACTTGTCTTCCCATTGATTCAGTCACTCTAAACCAATAAGTCATGTTAGACTTGAGCCAACAGCCCTATCCATGTTCAGATTGAGTATTTGCTTTAGACGATAAATGTCATGTACCTCAACCACCTGATGGAGGGCTGAATGATCGGAGCTGTTATACAATGAACTATCGTTCATATTATGTAAAGCGAAATCATCACATCTTATTTGATTATTTTGATTAAAAAGGAGTGAAGGGCTTTGGTCCTCCTGCTCCTTCCTATTAATCTTCCAGAGAAGCACTCAAGCATAGGCCTGTGAAGGAGGCATTCAGAAGACTAACAGTAACAAGACATGTCTAGTTCAATTAATGAAGTGCACTCTTCTCTAATAATGCTTAGGCTACCGTGTTCTTGTCAACCAACTGCTAAACTTTTCTAGACTGTTCCTCATGAGATGTATTGGAATCCAGTTTTTATCCTCCATCATCAGCAAAGTACAATTTTGAGCAGTTGATATTTTGCGACGCTATTATTGTTCGTCAACATGCAAGATACATTTGTGAGCAATTGATGTTTATGATATTACTATTGTTAATACGGACTATACTCCTAGTTGCAAAAACGAAAATCTGTTAGATTATTTTTGGAACTTCAAGAAGATGAATTGAACTTAAAGAAGACTACACAGCAAGTGAGTATCTGGAGGTATCGGCAGTGAAGGCAAAAAATAATGGGGAAACTTGACTCAAGTCATCAAGGTTTCTTTCAAGCAGGCCCCCATTTCTGTCTCAGATATATAACATGGCAACATTCCTCCAGAGAGTCTCCTGATGACCTGGATTGCTAAACTACATCGGGATGGCCAGTCAGGTGTTCTGAGCTATGATGTCATCATTCTTAGCCAGCCTATGACGCCATTGTAAGTCAGAATACCTGAAGAACAGCAAGCTAGGAAGTCTAGCCTGATGATATCTCACAAGGACTGTATTTATCATATGTTGAAAAGCAAAGATGAAGGTAGGGAAGAGGTTTCCCTTCCAGTATTTATTTATTAAATTTATACACCGTCTCATGCAATACTAGACACTTACTTTTCTTCCATCAGCTGCTTCTGATACTCTTCATATTCTTCCCGGGTCATTCCTTGGGCTTCTGCTGGGGATTTGTCCCCTTCGCCTTTGTCTTCTCCTCCCAACCCGCCGGTGAGATTCTTCAGTTGGCCACCGACCATAGACTTCACCATGAAAGCCATGGTTAGGCAGACCGAAGAGCAGCGGCAGCAGATACGGGAGCGGAGTTAGCGGAGTTAGCAGTCCCTGGAGAGGGCCAGAAGAAGCTCAGCTGGGTCGTGGAGTAGGCTGGCGTCTTCGAGCTCAGCTGCCGACTCGGGTTTAGATCAGCATCTTGTCTCTCGTGGAGGAAGCGTCCCCTCGTTGTTTCCCATTGAGGCTCAACGGGGCTTCCGGAGGGGAAGAGTAGAGCCGAGTCCAAGCGAAAGTTCAGCACCTGGTGTCCGCGGACAGCTCCGGAGCAGCGCGCCCCGGCCCGACTCTCACAGAATTGCGGACTGGCGCGCTCGTTTCAGCACCACGGCGCTCGGACAGCGACTGCCGTCGATGGGCGTTTGCGGAGCCGATGTGCCGACGGGGCTGATCCGGGAGAAAGACTCCCCTCCCGCCGCGGAGGGCCGTCCTTCGGAGTCCCAACCCTCTTCAAGTTGGTCTAACCTCGACTCTCCACGCGTGACAAGTTGACTCCGCCCCCTGAGCCCTCCCTTCTGGCTTCCCAGCCCCACCTTCCTTTTTACTTTTATTATTATTATTTTATTTTAAAAAGGAAAGAAAATGGACGTGCGGAAGAGACAAGTCTGTCACTCAAACAGCTGATGGCAGCGTCTGAACCCATCCGATGGGAGGAGAGTTGGGAGTAAGGACCCCGGTACGTTTACCAGCTTTGCTCAGCCTGGCACCGGATGGGCCGGATGGCAAATCCTATCATTCCCTTGGCTCAGAGTTAGGGGAATTGTGTCCAACACATCCGGAGGACCTCCAAGCGAAGAAGACTGTTGTCTGCACGCAAATACAGATGTGATGGACAGTAAAGTGGGAAGACTTTTTCTGGAAAACTAGGTCAAAAAGATGAATTTGTACCTCTTTGGACTGGCATGCTTTTCCTTTCTTTTGTGCTCTGCCTATTAAAGAACCTTTATATTTATCTTCTAGACTCGAGTTACTAAATTTCTACCCCCCCCCCCATAAAGAGTTTTCTAGCCTCTTAAAGACTGGTTTAATGAGGTATAAGCATCCATTTTATAGCTGTCTTGGAACTGCATGTTTACTCAATCCAAATTTCTGGATCTGCCTGAGCACAAGCCTATAAACTAATCTCACAGTTGCGTTTGCACAACTTCGTTAGGCAAAGTCTAGTGGATCGTTTTGAGATTCGCAGCTGATGCAAACACACCCACCCATCAAAACCGAGTCTCACTGGATCTAGTTCTTTATTTACCCTCCCGCTTTTCACTCCCAAAAGTGACTTGTAGAGCAATTAAAATCAAACACCATAGCATTAGCAAGTTTGTGATTGCAAGGCTATTTTAGACCTTGGTAATAATGGCTGGAACATTAGAGTTTTTAAGTTCTGGCATATGGGAAGGGAGGGAGGGAGGAATAGAGGGAGGGAGGGAAGAAAAGAAGAAAGGAATAGAGGGAGGGAGGGAGGGAAGGACAGAATGAAGGAAGGAGGAAGGGAAGGAAGGGAAGGGAGGGAGGGAAGAAAGGAAGAAAGGAATAGAGGGAGGGAGGGAGGGAGGGAGGGAAGGAGGGAGGGAGGAAGGAAGGAAAGGAAAAGAAGAGAAACAACAAGGAGCAGGGAGAGAGGAGAAAGGAAGAAGAAAAGGGAAAGAGGAAGGAGGGAAACGGATTCCCTAGAAATTGCAATGGGGAGGATGGGAAAATTTAAAAGAGAATGAAAGAGCATAGGAAGAACTCAGCTGCAAAGCTTCTGGTTTGAATGGATAATGCCCATTAGGAGCAGCTAAGCTCCTAAAGCAAGAATATAATGCACTATAATAGATATGGCTAGTACAAATGAACAAATGGATTTAAAAAACCATCCTCCTATTTTTGCATATAAATAACCTGAGTGCTGCTTTTTTTTGTACAGAAGTTAATGGGAACTGTTTCTGCTAGCCACCTAATTGAGACACAGCAAGTGTGCTTTAAACTCTAGTGGGACTCGTTGGTTACGTTCACACAATGCATTAGGTTCAGTTGAAACAAAGTTGAGTAATTTGTGGTGGAGTCCACTGGGGGAATCTAGCCATCATTTTGGCATAGCTTGCCAACTGGAGCACATTTACTAAAAATGGGGCCAAGCTATTTGTGGGACTGCCTGTCTCCCCATCATTTTGGCTTGCCCCTCCGGATCAAGTAGGGAGGACACGCTCCAGGTCTCTTCCATCAAACAATGCCATCTTGTTGGAATCCGATATCCTGGCTCCTTTGTACAAGTGACTGTCCAGTCTCTTCTTAAAAGCCTCCAGTGATGAAGCATCCACAACTTCTGGAGGCAAGTTGATCAACCCACTGGTTGATTGTTCTCACTATCAGGAAATTTCTCCTTATTTCTAGCTCGGTTCTCTCCCTGATTAGTTTCCATCCATTGCTTTTTGTCCTGACTTCAGCTGCTTTGGTGCCTGGTGGACATTGTCTTTCCTACCTTTCGTCCTTCTAGCTTCCTTCCAGTCAATATTTTTTGATAACAGCGATGGGGAGGAATCTGTTTCTACCTGTTTTGTTTTTTTTCCAAGACCGCAAAACCCCAAAGAGATCAAAATCTATAGAACCGAAGCACAACCTAGCACACAAAACAATTGTGGTTTTGCACCTGTAACAACAGGAAACTGCTTCTCGGATCAACAGGACGAATCTGTGTGCTTCAGAAATGGGGATCCCTTTCAAACAGGATGTCTTTTTGCTGAATCGGCCTGATTTTCCTCCAGATAAAGACTTCTCATGAATTTTAGCACTATTCAGCACTACTATATCTTCACTTTTCTCACACTCCATCATGTACCCTCCTGGTCCTCAAATTTAGTGTGCTTCAGAAGGCCAGAACTGGGGGCTTTATTTCGCCAGAGGGGTCTGTAGAGATTAATTTAAAAAAAAATACAAGATGGAGGTTCCAATTGTTTGATTGCAACACGTGTATATATAGTAAACAAAGATGAGGCTTTGCATACACAAGTTGTGGCTGGCAACTGGCTTTGTTGTCTCTTCTAAGGACATCCCTGGCCCTTGGTAACATACCCCACAATCATTGTTTACCTTTTGTCACCTTATTACAATTTTGCTTCCTTCTCCAAAATAGGAAGATAGGCTTCATGCTTGCACTAAGCCAGAAATTGTGCCTGTTTGGCTGCTGGACTGAACCAAACCTGGTTTAATCCAATATCTGAATTTCTCCAGTCTGTGTGCTTTTGCCATGATTGGATTCAATTTGGTTTAGATTATTATTTTTGAGTGATAGGTTTGATTGATTAAGGGATAATAAGCACTGCCTTTTAGCTTGGTCTTTGACTTACACAAAACTAGTTAGGATTCCAGAACTAAGTCCCTGGATTGATGTATCTCATCCTGTTTCCCTGGTGTGGCATCCTCTCCTATATGTTTGTGGAGTTTCTCAATCATCCAGGTTATGGCTGTCCCAAAGGTGGTTTTTGGAAAAAAAACAACTGGACTTTCTTGGGGGTTTTTTTCTTTGAAATCTTTGTGCTTCTCATCCAAGAAGCTTGGGTGAAGACACTTCTTGAATGAGAAGCGTTTTCACGCTTCAGAGAAAAAAAACAAGAAAGTCCAGTTGCCTTTTGGAAAAAAAGCCCTTTTGGGACATCCTCTTCTACTTACACAGTTGGAAGGGACCTTGGAGGTCTTCTAGTCCAGCCCCCTGCCCTGCCCTATATACCATTCAAGACCTCCAGTGTTGGAGCATCCACCACTTCCAGAGGCAAATCTTCCCACTGATTAATTAATTTCAATCCACGAATTGAAAATCCACTGGTTTTTCTAATCACTTGATTAATTAACCCAATTCACCTTTTGACACCCACCCCCCATTTCTGCTTAGAGAAGGTTCCTTCTCAATCAGCTGCCCTGATCCCTGGCTGATCCCACACAGGGGGCCTTTTAGCCCTTCCCGAAGAAGGAATCTGTTAATCGGAGCGGCTAATTATGCTCGGAGAGTGCTCTTCTGCTCTCAGTGGCTACTTGCCATGCGCCTGGCTTGCCTCTCTGTGAACACTCAGCCCTAGGGGATCATTCCGAGCGCACTGGACAAGCTGTCAGGGGGTTGAATCAGCAGCGGAAAGAGTCAAACATAAATCCCTCTAAGCAGGCATGGATGAAATCCCCGCCGCCTCTTGTCATAAGCTTAGGAATGTGCACGCTTCATCCCCCAACACATGGAGCAGAGAGGAGAAATGCAGGTCCCTTCCGTGACACAAACACGCATGGACAGACCCACAACGCTGCCGAATGAGACTTGGTAATCAGCACATGGACGAGACATGTGCTTTCCGTTGCCCCTGGCCGGGAACAACTCAGAAACAGGCCTCTGCGTGTAAACAAACTCACCAAGGCTTCTGTGTACGTTTCCTCCTCCCCCTTCAGAGGGTTGTTCGGGATTTACATTCCTAGAAATTTAGGAAAAGCAGGTGAAAAAAGGAAGGTTGACAGCTTTGTCCATCGCTGGGTCACCAAGGAGCAGCAGAAGGACGTAGCCTTAGAGCCACGCAGCTCAAATCTGGACAGATTGCACCCAGTTGAGTAAAAGCGGTTTACTTGACTAGGATGGCATCCAAGGGGGCACTTGAGATGGGCGTGAGTGGCAGCTTTTCAGGGGCCCAGAAGAAAACTTTCCATTGCTTCCCCCCCACCCTATCACCTCCAGTTGTCAAGCCGAGGAGGTGTCTGTGCCAATAAAGGAGAATATTCGTAGCTCAGGGTTGAAATGAGGGATCCCTGGTGTTCTCTCAGCTTGGTTGTTTTCTTGCTGACATTTCATTATCCAAACTAGCTAACATCATCAGTGCTAGAAGGGGGTGGTGTTTGTGGAGAGGAGGAGGAGGAGGAGGAGGAGGAGGAGGAGGAGGACTGTGGGGTCCTTGGTGGTCTCTGAGCTTGGCGGGTTTTTTGCAGATGTTTCATGACCAAATTAGGTAACATCATCAGTGCTAGAAGAAGTGTGAATGAA